CTCTGAACCCCAAACATTGCTCTGTTGAATTGCACGTTGTCCCAGACTTGGTCTCATTAATTTGCACGTTGTTCCCTTGGTCCCAAACTTGGTCCCTTTAATTTGCACGTTGTTCCCTTGGTCCCAAACTTAGTACCGTTGAATTGCATGTTGTTCCCTTGGTCCCGTGGAATTGCATGTTCACTTGGTCCCCAAATCGGTCCCGATGAATTGTCTGTTGTTGCCTTGGATCCAAACTTGGTCCCGTTGAATTGCATGTTGGGCCCAAACTTGATCCCTTTAATTTGCACGTTGTTCCCTTGGTCCTAAACTTAGTCCCTTTAAATTGCCTCCTGTCCCAAACTTAGTCCCGTAGACTCGCCCCCTAACGGTAGCTGGTGTCACAGGTGGACAAGATCGGGCGCGCGTTTGGTGACGCAGATGGTGGTGGTGTGGTGGTGTGGTCCCTGGAGCCTGGTAGTGTGGTGGTCAGCTGNCATAGATTTGACTCACTTATGCACAGATTTGACACACTTCTGCATAGATTTGACTCACTTATGCACAGATTTGACACACTTCTGCATAGATTTGACTCACTTATGCACAGATTTGACACACTTCTGCATAGATTTGACTCACTTATGCACAGATTTGACACACTTCTGCATAGATTTGACTCACTTATGCACAGATTTGACACACTTCTGCATAGATTTGACTCACTTATGCACAGATTTGACACACTTCTGCATAGATTTGACTCACTTATGCACAGATTTGACTCACTTATGCATAGATTTGACTCGCTTATGCACAGATTTGACTCACTTATGCATAGATTTGACCCACTTATGCACAGATTTGACCCACTTCTGCGCAGATTTGACTCACTTATGCACAGATTCGACTCACTTATGCATAGATTTGACTCGCTTATGCACAGATTTGACTCACTTCTGCGCAGATTTGACTCACTTCTGCACAGATTTGGCTAACTTATGCTAGATTTGACTCACTTCTGCACATGTTTGACCCACTTGTGCATAGATTTCACCCACTTATGCATAGATTTGACCCACTTCTGCACTTGAATTCGACTCACTTATGCACAGATTTCATTCACTTATGCCTAGATTTTACTCACGTATGCATAGACTTGACTCACTTATGCACAGATGACTCACTTCTGCTCAGATTTGACTCACTTCTGCACAGTTTCAACCCACTTATGCATAGTTTTAACGCACTTTGCACAGATTCAACCCACTCGTACGGTGGTTGAGGCCAGCCCCACTGCACCCATTCAGCCCACCGTCACCTTCAAGCCCGTGGAGCCCACCCAGCCAACCCTGGTGGTAAATAGCGGTTGAATAAATACACTTAAACCCCGGTTCGCTCCTCCCACCCACCCGCTGTGTTCCTCCCACCCACCCGCTTTGCTCCTCCCACACACCCGCTTTGCTCCTCCCACCCACCCGCTTTGCTCCTCCCACCCAC